ACGGCTGAAAGGGCGAACATATTTTGGTGGGACGAGAAGTCGAACCCGAGACCAGCAGGTTGCGAGTCGAGCGCCCTAACCACCTGGCCATGCCAGGCCTAACTCTCGGGTTACTATGATCGAATAGTGGGATTAACCATCACGTTATAACGCCTTCGCAGCTGAAAGAACGAGCATGTTCGAGGATGGAATTCGAACCCGCGGCTCCGCAGACTGTAAATCGAGCGCCTAACCAGGCCATGTCAGGCAGTTAGTGAGGGTAATATTCCCTTTAAACCTATGGATTCAATAGTCATACTGTTGCTTACCCCATATGTTAGCAACGAGATCGCGGCCTATAAATGAAATTGACCTATTTTAAAATTTCGTTTCAAAATCAACCAAAAACTGCAAAATTACGCAAATTGGTTTAAAATTCTAACATTGCCCATTTCAATCCAATGACTTTGACCTCGACTATCCGTCATAGGCTTTTATGTCAAAGACTACCATGAAACATCAAATACCAAAACGCTTAAAATGGATTAAAAATACACTTACAAATGAATCAAATACTGTTCTCTCCAAAGCGGTATAAACATTTTTCACACTTTGGTAATTATTATTATATTTTACATTTATGTTTAAATTATTCGAGTTATTATCAAAGCTAAGTCATTCTATCAATTAAGTATTGTTAAAAGAAACAAAATCCCTGATGCAACTTATATGAAGACATGCTTTAGTTTCCATGATATAACCTTGTACTTTGTCTTAAATTAGAAGTGGTATACCTATAGTTTAAACTGCTTATTTCAACCAGTGGTGTTTACAGAGGAGGAATGTCATGAGGAGCAACTTTCCATAAGGTTTTTTTGGGGGGAGGAGGAAGGCCAAAAAATTAATAGAAAGAATAAAGAGAGTTACAATTTTTTACCCCTTATTTATGCCACAACTCTACAGGGGTTTGTAGTTGTTGGAAAGAGGGTGCAGTCGTTCCTTCTCCCAAATATTTTTGCTGGCTTCGTTGAAAATGATAAAAATTACTGGATGAGGAGGGGAGTTAGTTTCAAGTGCCGTCAGTAGTAATGCTTGAATAAGGATTTATTTTGAAAAAAGAAATCGGTGTAGGAGGAGTTGTATGGGGGTCGTAAAGCACTTGTAGCTTATTTTTCACAATAGTTCCAACATTTATGCGTTGTGAACGCCCTTTTCTGACAAAGCGCGATTACAATCAGCTATACTTGTCATAAGACAATAGTATTAAGCCTAATACTATTGTATTATGACACGAATGATTTATTATGTTAGGCCTAATACTATTGTCTTATGACCCGTATAACTGATTATTATTCAAACATTTCTGTTTAGCCTAGATAACAATATCATACAGATAAATGTGAACCTTAATAAAAGTTAATATATTTTATAGCTTGCATAATATTTAGCTATATTCCACTTATTCCAGATGGTATTGGATAAAATCTGCTCATCACCAAACATTTGAGGTAAACATCGAAATTTGAGGAAGCTTCCTAATACATTCTTGTTATTTGGGAACTCGTGTTTCCAGTTTCACGAAGAATGTACTCTGCAAAAATATCCTGCACAAGGTTTTGCGTCTAAAATGGTGAATTGGTTCATAAAATATTTTGTTCCGAATTTGGGAAATGACAAAAAGTTTAAAATAAGAAGCAAATATGAAGCTGTTTGCATGGCGCATCATTTCACTGAGTGTGTTACTCTTAACGAAAAACACAATAGCAAATACAATTAAAGCATAACAACATTTAACATTCTCTAAGCCTACTAAGAGGTGTCAAAAACTAACATGACAACACTAATCAGTTATGTAGGACCTATGATAACCAAAAGTCTGCCTGAAATGTTATTTTGTACGCAGCAAGAAAATCAGTTGTTTTTTTTTTTTTTTGGTGAAATACGTTCGTCATGAGACAACAAAGAGGAATAAGACAAAAACACTTACAAGCAAACTAGAATTCATAACATTTTAAGGCCTTATTATTTTTCTAGATTAGCCAGCTATGCATTTTACCTCGAAATCAAAATTTTCACCAAGCCATCGATTTATTAGATGTGTTTCATTCAAAACAAGGTTAGGGGGTATGGCTGAAAAGCATAAAAGGGTGAAACTTGATGAAATAAGGGGTCGTTTCAGAAAGTATTTCGTCCCAAAACAAGGTCACAATTCGACATGTAGCAAGATAAATATAAACGTGGAAATTCACAACTTGACTGATGATGCTTTAAAATGCATAAATCTTGACTAACTTAGTGCAGTTCTCTAATAGCATTAGTATATAGTAACTTTATGTACTATACAACTTGTTTTTCACAAATAATAGTGTTTTGACCGAGTGTTGTAATCTTAAAAGTGTAGTTGAAAATGTTGCTATACATTTATATCTTTATACACTCGTACATAGCCAGACAAGAGGGACATTTGTCATTATTATTACACAGAAACAAGTGTTTCATTTAACTGAAATGGCTCATTTTGTGCTGGCCTCGCCTTATGTAATACAAACATTTAAAACAAAACATAAAATAGAGAATCAGTTCACTAGTAGATTTGTCACAAAATACGGTAAGAACAGAATACTAGAAAATCAGTTGAGGAAGAAGTTCATATCATGGATTTTAAAGATCCCTTTAATACTTTAAATAACAAGAATACACAAAGGGAAATAACGTGTTGAGATAAACAGAAATTGGCATTTCGAAAGAACAACTAGTAATACAGACCCGTATCTTCAACAAGGCGACAGAAAGAATGACTTTTCTGCTGGAATATACGACAACATCAGGCCTCACATGGTGTTACGTGTTGCGGCATCTTGTTTTCTATGTTAGAGCGTCTTGTCCAACTAAACATTACACAGAGCATCGCTAGCTTCTGATGGATATAGAAGTCGTCCACCCATCACCCCTTTGATGAAAGGCAAGAGTCGAAATAGGCAGGTCATTGCCCCCCTGCGAACGAAGCGTCGTAAGGGAGTTAATGTAGGTGAGACACAGTTGAGGATTCCTGCACCATACAAACACTGGGATGGGCTTATTGAGGTTAGCGTGAGAAGTATAAATTTTGTTACCCGCTGTTCTTGCAGTGGCCCTTAATCATAGCCAGCGTGACAGGTGTCTATTTTGTGTGTTTCGGCAAAAATACGCCTGTCATTTTAGTCCATTCTTTAAACCTATATAGGATGTAGTGAATAATAGATAGTGTCACTAGAAAACACAGGCGCCATCAGTAATGAAGAGTACCATTTTTCCTCATAATTTTTTCCCCAGCTAATGACAGTGTTGCGTGTTTAATGTTGCTCATGAACGTGCTTTAACTCAGAAAGTTTTCCCTGTTTAAATGAAGCCAGTCCTGCTATATGTTCCCGTCTGGCTACCACGTTTATAGAACCATTTAATGGTTTCACAACAAATCTTCATAGAACAACAGACAACATATTGCTTTTATTTTAACTTTGTCCTTGATATGCAGTTAACTGGACTACCACGTAGTATCCTCTGATCAGACGAGTGGTATTTATTTAGCTCACTAATTTATCTCTATTAATCTATCGATATAGCAATAACTACGTATCTGTCTGTCTGTTTATCTACCTAACTGTCTGTTTATTTATCTCTCCAGCTATTTTGTTTCGAATACAAAATAGTACCTTCGATTCTTAATAGCATCTACTAACGAATAAGTTACTTTTAAATAGTAAATTAAGGCTTCATGCAACGTCTATCAACTCTATGGATTTCCATGCTAGTAGTAAACTACCCTTCAAGCTTACCTAAACCGTGTGGCTGTATTTTCAGTTCTGTGAATCTTCTCCTAAACTATTTGAATGCGTTAATGTGAAAATATCATATTTTTACAATTCTGTATTACCCATTCTTCGAATCAAAATTAGAATTTCAAAACCCTTGATAGGATACTTTTGTATCCTTATGCTGTAACAAATATGTATATAAAAACTGTCGTTGATTTTTCTTAAAGTTTAAAAAATAAAAGTGATTTTAAAAGTGAAATGTTATAGGAATATTTTCATAACAAATTATGAGTTAGCAAATTTGGCAAAAAAAATAGGAAAACTGATAAGTCAACCATCACTCTCTAGGCTTAAGTTTGTTTAGTTAAAATACTGTTGAAAGTTAGTGAAAGTTTTTATAATTATGTTAAAAAAATACACTCGCAAATGTATTTATTCATCATTTAATAACAATGG